TGGATCATAATTATATAAATAAAAAACATTACACAGTAAATATTTTTATAATTTGGTTGTGCAGTAAAATAAAAATTTCATAGCAAGTTATTGGTTGGTAGAAACTTGATATTGTAAAATTATCTTGGTAACAATAATAGTATTGTAAAGATTAGAATTATTTAAAGTGTCTTTGCGTTCTTTCATTCCTGCTCTTTTTTGTATTTCTTATACTTGGAATGCTCTTCTTTATTGTATACAATATAAATGAATACAGTAACCAGAAAAATACCACCCAAAAGAATAAATTTGACAACATTGATTTCTCCAGTAAATTATATTGGATTAGTCCATAAAAGACTTTCAAAATTTTCTTTGGACTTTGAAGTGAGGTTAAAGCCACCTAAGGCACAAGAAACAAGTCACATGTGGAATCAGCAGATTTACCACAAAGATTATATGGGCAAGGAAGATTATCAATTAACGAGTTTAGAAAAATTAGAATTTTTTCTTTTAAGTCTGTCTAGAACAGTAAAACAGATTTTTATTTTATTTTATAATATACTAATTTAGCCTTTCTAAAACTCTGTTTCATATAACAGAAAGCCATTTGTTTGATCCTGATAACTGATCAAAATTTTTACCGAGCTAATTTACAGAAATAGTAGACACATAATTTCTTGCATGAAATATTTTTTTGGATCCTTCTTGATCCAGTAGACTTTTGAGTTTTTTAAAGCATTTGATGAAAATCGTAAATGATTTATATTTTGATATATATATATATACTAATTCCCCTAAAATAATCAATGCTAGACATCTTTCGGATGTAAAGCAACTACCATTAGAACGGTTTACCATTTCTTGTCTTGTAAACAAATAATACAGATGCTTTCAAATTGATTACATAGACCTCAATAATTTCAATCTTGAAATAAAACATTACCATGTTCACCACTGAATTCTGTTGGTTCCATTAATATGATTTAAATAGACGATTGATCTTGAATACCTTGGTGGTGATTCTTTTTCATTGTTACATTTTTGGTTTTCTTTAAATCAATCAATGTTAAACATAAAACCATCCCCGTTAGAGTCAACAAAACCTGCTTGTTTTGTACATTCTTTTAAATAAATCATTGATATGTCGCCAATAGCCGAAAACATGATTTCTGCTTCCATAAAATTTATGAAATTAAGGAATTACTGATTAGAAATTTTATCTTTTTTTTTTGCTTTTTATATTGTCCATCTTCCTGATTTCGAAGAAAATTTTGAAAATCCATTAATATTAATATTTAAAAATCGGACAAGTTTCAATTTATTGCGTAATTATTCTTGCAAATAGCAATTATCACCTAACCTATTAGTCTGGTATATATTTAAAGTCCTGACAAAAAATAAACATCTTTCTTTTTCAAAAGAAAACAATCAAAAGAAAATAGATGATTTTGCTAGACAAAACAACCAAGAGATTTTATGATAATCAAATAAATATCATTTAACGGGTATCTATAAAATGTATATACAATCAAATTTGCTCACCTCTCCTTAAGAATGCATTGCTGGTGTCATGATTACTTTATTATTATACAATATACAATGGTTAGAGCTACCCGTTTGATGTCTACCGATCGACTACTTCTTATTAGGCTAACAGCCAATCTAATGACAGTCTATACGAAACTCACTTTATTTCAGCTCTTTGAGTCAGTGTTGGGAAATGACCAAGTCATTATCGATACAAATTTAAAAAAAATTCAAATCCACGTCCTTTTTGTATTAAAACAATACAAATAAAAGTAACTCTATTGCTACTTACTTGTAAAGGTTGTATTGAAATAAAACCAAACTAAGTTGCACATTATCTATACTCTCAATCTTTTAATAACGTAATATCCTAACACATTGATGATAAAAGCAACGCATTTACATAAAAATAGATTTTGAATTAATAAAGCCAGCGTGATTGACTCAGGACCCTTTTAATGATTAATGGTTTGTCCAATCTTTAATTATTAGTTGGGAGTCCTTTTAATTTTACTATGTTGCTTTTAGGATACCTCAAGTAGTATATTTGTATGTATTTATTTTTTTCTTTTATTTCTTTGCGTGTGTGGCTGGAGAGGATTTTGAGACTCGGACAAAATTTGTCAGCAATAGAAAAGCAGTTAGCAACTAACGATGACTAACATAATGGTGGTGTGGCTGACAACCAACAGAAGCCTAGCTAGTAAAGGGCGTCTAAACAAGAGACTCGAATTGTATGCTCACAACATCAACAAAACTCTTGTAGTTGGCAAAATAACAAATCCCAAACAAATAGTTTGGTGGTTATAATCCACTTGATTGGAATGCAAATCCAGAAATTTTATGTTTAATAGAAATGGCATTAATACTACACAGATTAGTTATATTAGCATGCAGTTCATTGTGAAATTGATTTAGTACCGATAGTTGTTTGTATACCAAAGATTTATAACGAAATTTAATACTTGCTGTAAGTAATGATGATTCATTGATTAATAATGATAATAATGATTATTTGCCATTTGAGCAAGGCCTTAAACATATTAATATAGATGGTTATAATAACAGACTCTTATAGCAATAAATTTGATGAATTGGAAGTTTTAATAAGATTAATTAAAATAAATTAATTGGTTAAAATATGATTGGTGCTGATCATCCTTCATTTTTTTTTTAAAAAAAAATGAATTTATTATTTGAAAAGTATTTTAATGAGAATGAAAGATTACTAAGCACTGAAGATTTTTATGATGTAAAGATAAAAGTTGGTGTAGAACCAAACATTAAAGAAGTCCATGCACATACATCCATCATATCAGCTCATTGTCCATTTTTTAGAAATGCATTAAATAATGCAACAAGAGAAAATGGCTATTATATTGTTACAAAAGCTAATATTAGTGAAAAATGTTTCAAACCTATTCTCAAGTGAGTTTAAAATTTTATTTATTTATTTATTATTAATGAACATATAAATAATGATATTAATAACCTGTTTAATAATTTGTTATTTTGGAAGATTTTTATGCAGTTCATTGTGAAATTGATTTAGTACCGATAGTTGTTTGTATACCAAAGATTTATAACGAAATTTAATACTTGCTGTAAGTAATGATGATTCATTGATTAATAATGATAATAATGATTATTTGCCATTTGAGCAAGGCCTTAAACATATTAATATAGATGGTTATAATAACAGACTCTTATAGCAATAAATTTGATGAATTGGAAGTTTTAATAAGATTAATTAAAATAAATTAATTGGTTAAAATATGATTGGTGCTGATCATCCTTCATTTTTTTTTTAAAAAAAAATGAATTTATTATTTGAAAAGTATTTTAATGAGAATGAAAGATTACTAAGCACTGAAGATTTTTATGATGTAAAGATAAAAGTTGGTGTAGAACCAATCATTAAAGAATTCCATGCACATGCATCCATCATATCAGCTCATTGTCCATTTTTTAGAAATGCATTAAATAATGCAACAAGAGAAAATGGCTATTATATTGTTACAAAAGCTAATATTAGTGAAAAATGTTTCAAACCTATTCTCAAGTGAGTTTAAAATTTTATTTATTTATTTATTATTAATGAACATATAAATAATGATATTAATAACCTGTTTAATAATTTGTTATTTTGGAAGATTTTTATATACATGTAAAATTGAACTTGAAAATTGTTCTGGAGCTGAAATATTAGAACTGTTAATTGCTGTAGATGAACTTGGCATTGAGTCACTTTATGAATATATGATAAAATTCTTTATTGAAAATTATGAAGATCATATAAAAGAAAATCCAGTTAAGGCTCTGCAATTGATTTATGCTAATGAAAATTTTAAGGAATTGAAAAATATTTATTTAGATGCATTTTGTGAATATAGTGAAAAATTATTTGAATCAAGTGAATTTAAATCATTGGGAAAACCAGTTCTTTTGGAAATTCTCAAAAGAGAAGATTTTTTTGTTGATGAGATGGTTATTTGGGAAAATATTCTTAAATGGGGATTAGCAAAACATCCAGAAATCAATAATATTAATGTTGAAGATTGGTCATCACAAAATTTTGTTGATTTAGGCAACACATTAAAAGAATTCCTTTCTCTGATAAGATTCCAGGATATTTCTAAAGATGATTTTTTTGATAAAATTGAACCATATCATATGCTTTTACCTAGAACTTTATGGAAACCCTTTTCACAATATCATTTTTTTCCTGATAGACAACAAACATTAAGTTTATTACCATCAAGAAAACCTAAACTTGAATCATTAACAATTAATTACAAACTTGCTTTTCTTTTTGCAAGTTGGATTGATAGGAAAAGTCCACCCTATGATTCATTCAAGGAAGTCAAATATGAATTTAAGCTTCTATATCGTAGCAGCAGAGATGGTTTAAATACTAATGCATTTCACCAAAAATGTGATAACATCAACAAAACTCTTGTAGTTGGTAAATTACAAAATTCTATACAAATAGTTGGTGGTTATAATCCACTTAATTGGAATGGAAGTGGTTATAAAAATACAAAAGAAAGTTTTATTTTTAATATAAGCAATAGGAAAGATATTAATTTCAGTTATGTTATCAATAATAATTATGGCAACGCAATTTATTGTTATTCTTCTGACTTACCTAGATTTGGTAGTGGTGATGATGTCCGGTTTATTTCAAATGGTGAAATCAATAGTAAACCAATGGCTTATAATAATATCAATATAGTAAATGGTGGTAAATTTGATGAATTAGAAGTTTTTCAAATAATTGATAAAAGATAAAATTATTATATACTGTACTTGTCATTATTAATTAATTATTTATAAATCTTTACTGATAATAAAATACACTCCCCTAAAAAAGTATCGACTCACTTGATGATCCGCGAAAATAATCGGGTAAATTGGTAATACAAATACTCATTTTTTTACTAAGCAAATCAATGTTGTATATTAGTGAGAAAATGTTTAACG